CCCAACTAGCCACAAAAAAAATTAATCACTATTATATCACATAGAGAGGTAGCCTGTCTTTACGCCACTTTTGAAGGTATTTATTATTGAAAGTTAAACTCTGCTATATTACATGAATAATCTATATCAGCTGATAATAAAACGTTACACAGTCTGATCAAAAATTGGATTGGTTAGCTTTTTTTAACAATCCAATCCAATTTTTGATCAAAAAATGTGTGTAACGTTTATGCACTTTTCGAAAGCCTTTATTACACGACAGGGCGGACCCCGCGCAGAAATAGTTACAGTGCAGGAAATTTAAAAACCTCAATCTCATGTTAAGATGATGCATAAACTAGTAAGCTCATTGAGAATAAATGTCTTAAATTATCAATCTCAATAGAATAATGGGCATAGAAATAATACGCCAAGAATAATATGTACTTAATAGGTACTATTTTATGCATAGCTGAAACTTCTATATAAAGTTATTGTTGTTTTTAGATTTTTAGATTTCCTGCACCGTACATTGTTGATGCAAATCCTATCTAAAATAGTAACTAACCATAGATCTGCATCAAGAAAGTTATCAACTCTGCGCGGATTTTACCTTTTCATATTATTATTATGAATCTAAGTGCTTGCCTTATTATTGGAACCAAACCCCACATAGATAATAACTTATTTTAGCGAATCTAAGTTTCACATAATCTAACAGGAAAATAACCAAAATTATTTTGTCGGATTTAGAGATGCAGATATTTTTGCGGCAGTGCTACATCAATTACGTTACTATTGTGATACTATCGCAACCCGTTGTAGCACAATGTATGTATTGTCGTGGGTTGTAATATATGTTGTAGGTCGTAATAGATGTTTAAGGTCGTAATAACCGCCGTATGCTGGAGTAAATGTCATAGGTAGCAATACTCGTAGTATTTATATATAGCACATTGTAAAGTTGATTTGAACGTTAAATGGTCTAGTGTTTCAGGAGTAAATAAAATTTGTTGTTCGAACTTTGATGATTAAGCGCAGATTACGTAAGCTTCGCGAATAATTTTTATTTCAAAAAAGCAAGATAAATTATACAGCCCAAATCATAACATAAATATAAATTAATATGACATGGACCAGTGTGTATGTAAATACTTTGTATAATCTCCGGGAAGCTAAGAATTGGAAATATCGATTTTACATAGAGCAATTATTTAAATTAAATATTCCCAAATGTAGACCATGACAATTAATAAATTTTAGTTACGATATTACAAATAGATTTATCTTAAAGTATAAAAGTGTTTGATGTGCAAAAACTAAAAAACTGATAAAGCTTGCATCCAAAAATGATACAATCTTTAGATAAGTCATTGAATTGATCTTAAAATATTTTAAAATAGCATAATTAATAAAATAATTATACATGTACAGATATACGTACCATAAACCATATTTAATAATATATAAAAAAAAAATACTAATCTTCCATAAATCCTTCAGCTAAAATTGATTTACTAACTCTTTGGGAAAATAATCCATGTTTTCAGACCGGTTAATATGTTATTATTATTTACACCGCCTATTTCTTGTTCATTCTCAGGATAATATTGCGACAATCAATTATTTCACCAATAAATAACTCATCTTGCATGCCTTTATAGCTGCTTAACTCGGATTTATGTTAGTCATATAATATGATTTACTTTAACCATATCTTTCAATTTTTCATTATCTAATCATATTCATTTGTCACCAATAGTAAGATAGAAAAGTTTCTCTCACAACTTGCTTGTGATGGACTATAGCTATAGTACCATTGTAACAATTAAAATTTAAGATCAGGTGTAAGTGAAAATTAGCTTTGTATAACAAAAGCCAAGAATTTTTTAAAAATCAATTATAACTCAAAATTTTGTCTATAAAACTACCTTTCAAATTTAACAAAAAAAATTCCTTGTTAAATTTTACTATAAGCTTGCCTACCTCTAACCTTAGCTCTTAACCTTATCCTAATATTAAAAAATTACATATAAGATAGTGCCACGGCGCTAAATGCTGCAAAAGTATTTCATTGAATAAATACGCTATATTACATTACAACATATATCAAAACTATATAATATGTATATACAATTCATACCTATTCATGCCTATATTACTACTTACATTATGGCATATGACATATATAAATACTCACTACTTCTATTACGACTTATAACATGCCAGTTATATTACTACTTACATTATATATATAAATGCTCACTACTTCTATTACGACCTATAATATGCCATAATACTAGTGAAAGTCGTAACTCCGTTACCTCAAAATGTCTGCACCTCAAGGCGGATTAAGTACAGATCTATATTAGACATAATGCCATGTGTTAGTATCAATCTCTTAATACGTATTAACATTAAATTGACACTTAAATAGGTTACGTACTCAAATTTTTTACTAGATTTTTAAGGATTTATATAGAATATCATACAAAACTTCGGTTCTCTGTGAGCACATCCGACTATAAATTGTTACAAATGATTTATCAAGTTATATTAAATTATAGTCCATATTACAGCATATTTATTTAAGTAGGACCAAGCGCGGTCCTATCAAAACGTAATGTCCAGTACGAATATGGGTTCCATGTTCTAATAGTGCCATGTTCACCACTTGTAAACCCATAATTTCAAACTTCACAAGTTTTACAACGATGGAGTAACCACGTAATTGTACAAAACTGTATTTTATTCTCATAGTACGTAATAATTGGGCTGAGTGGATAGCATTTTCTTGACTGCATAAATTTCTTTGATTGTTTTAACCCGGGCTTATATATTTTGAATTTTTAATTGTATTGTTTGGTCACACCATTTTAATATTAGTAGCCTATTTTATGTATGCAAAAAGATTGTGATGATCAAAATTAAGAATTAAAAATTTAAAGACCGGCAGTATAGTAATTTACATTATTGGAGAAATGATGCTGTACACAAAATCTCGATCACTTAACGCAACAGACTTTTTTTTTTGTAGTGTATTAAAACTTGCTACAAATAGCACTTAAAAAAATGTTGTAACTTCATTAAAGCTACAGTATATTATAATTTATGCCGAGTGACAATTATTGTATTAAAGCATTAACATTTAGCCGGTTTAACGCCACTTTAAAGCCGATTACCTTTTTTGAATAATGTATTGTTAAAAGGTAGAAATAACTAATTACAGTTTGTGTAACAGTTATTTATTGTTTCATCAGTTTACAATGTTAACAAGTTGTCTTAATGATCAATGAAGATTAGTACGTACAGTACGTAAACAAACAAATGGTCTGTGTCTTGCTGATTTTAATTTACAAATAAGGTGGATCACAAACTTAAAATGTAAATAAAATCTATTTTTTTATATAACTATAATCCTATTTTTTTTATATATATATTTAAATCGATCAAAATTTCTAAAGTAGAAAAATTTTTTAAGAAAAATTAAAATTTGAGTACGATGAAATTTGGTAAACTGCTTCAAACTGAATCAGTACCCGAGTGGAGAAAAAAGTAATTAAGTATACTTATAACTACTTATAGTTAATAATTATCTAAAATATCCAATTTTGATTTTTGTGATTTAAATTAGATATATCGACTATAAAGGTCTAAAGGAAAAGTTAGAAAAAATCCAGAAAACTCAATATATAGAACCAGAATCACCTGCCACCTTTTTTTGGATCCATAAATAGTATTTATGACTCACCAAACACTTATGAACATTCTGATAGTCTTCAAACTTTTCCTTTCTCACCCATTAAAGAGGAAGACAAGATTAATGAAAATTCAAATGTTGAAATTACTAAACCTAATCTTTCTGACCCTGTAAGGCCACCACTTACTCCACTGAAGATCAAAATAAATTCTTTTAGACGGACTCATTCTATGCACACAAGAATACCTTCTCGAATGAGAAACAAATCATGTAAATCTCTGCAACTATTTTACGTCATTTTAGATTTCTTATTAATATATATATATATATCAAATTATTATTTAGGTCAAAGACTTCCAATAATATCGATTGAGACGATTAAAAGTCAATTAGAACCTGAGGAAATAGCATTTTTCGAGGCTTTAGACATAGAATTAAAAAAAATTACCGAATTTTATGAAGGTAAATCAAGATTTACATAATTCACGATTTACACCTGTACAATAAAAATTTATAAAGCTAATTATATTTTACACAATTATTTGTGATAGAAAAGGAATTAAATGCAAAAGAACATTTCAAACAAATAAATCAAGCATATGAAGACTTAAAAGCTTTGAAAAATGTCAAGCAATCAAACTCGGTATGATTTAGCAAACCATGTATTGGAATTGATTTTGTTGTGATATTCTTTTATTCATATATATATTTTTCTTTTTTTTTAGCCTCGTAGCGATTGGACTTCCAAGCTATTTAAAGAACGTGATAATAATAATAGCCCTGTTCCATCCACAAATGAATTTCCAGTTGCATTTGATTATAAAGACGCGAGGAAAAGAATGAAAAAGGCTATTTGTGAATTTTACCGAGGCGCAGAAATGCTAAAGAATTATCGAGTAATTTTTTTAATTAGTTATAATGCTATTTTAACTGTTTTGTTATAATTTTTAATTTTTTTAAAAAAATTGTTTAGAATATTAATTATGCGGGGTTTAAAAAAATCCTTGAAAAATTTGATATGGTAAAAATTAAAATTTGCTGTTAAAGTTTTTTCTCAATTAAAAGCTAATAATTTATTGTTTTAGATTACGAAGCTAAATGGAAGTGAAATTTATATGCAAAAAATTGAAAAAAGTGGTTTTGTAAAAAGTAAACCACTAAATGTATTAATGAGAGACACTGAGGTACGTATTTCAAAATTTGTTAATTTATTTTTTATTTATTTTTTTTTTATTTTATAAAATTATATTAATTGATAAGTTTTCGTCTTATTAGTATATTTATACTAAACTTTTTGGCGGTAACTCTCGATCACACGCAATAAAAAAACTTAGAACCCCTAATAGAAAGCACAAGGTAAATAAACAAACCTAGCTCTATTTTTAAATATATGTATTTAATACCAAAATTTTCCTTGATAGACTTATTACCTTCCTACAATACGATCAGGAATATATATTGGTTTAGCAACTCTTTCCTTATACAATACCTTAAAACACGGTAATTTATATTATTTTTTTATTTCGCTTTCCGTAGTTTTATATTAATGTATATAAATTTGTACTTAACATGCTTAGTAAATGAATCTGAAGAAGGAATTCAACAATTAAGTTTCTATGCCGGAATGATTCTCCCAGCAATTCTTTTGTTGATTATAGGTGTTGATATGTACATTTGGACAATAATGCGCATTAATTATAAGTTCATATTTGAATTTGATCCAAGAAATAATCTGGATTTTCGTCAATATATCGAGGCAATTACCATTTATTATATTATTCAGTATATGTTAAGATTTTCTTTACTAATTATTATTTCTCATTCATTATAGATTCCATCATTTATGCTTTTGGTTGTTTGTTCCGTGGCATATTTTGATGTTACGAATTCACTTGGAATTCCGAAACCTTATTACTCGCTGATTTTAGTACTTATAATTCTCGCTATTCTTTTTTGTCCTTTTCGAATATTTTATTACAATGCAAGACGTTGGTTTATTTACAGTCTGGTATAATTTATTAATATTTTATGCATGCAAAACTCATCGGTTAGAAGTAATTTGGAATATTTGTAATATCATTGATAGGTTCATATGGTTATATCACCTTTTGTTGGTATCGAATTTCGAGATTTCTTCATTGCCGATCATTTTAGCAGCTTGTCTTATTCTTTGGTTACTCTGCAATTAATTCCTTGTTTTGTATGTAAGTTTTATCATTAGAGAATTTAATTTTTTTAACTTTTATTTATAATTTAATTAAAAATTTTCAATTGTTGAATTATTTTAGCACAAGAAATTTGTAACTTGCCCATATCAATAACACCACTTGCTCCAATTTTGGGTTCTTTTGGTGCTGCAATGAGGGCTGTTCAATGTATAAGACGTTATTATGACACCAATGCAGTAATACATCTTGCAAATACGGGCAAATATATTTTCGCGTTGGTAGCTATAAACTTTATCTTTTATTGGAGATATACAGGTTTGTATTAATATTTTTGCATTTTAAATTTCATAAAAACCAATCTAAATTTATAAAAAAATTTTTTTTTTTGCAAAATAGTTGCTTATGATGCAGATAATTATAATAAGATCCTTATTTCGAAAATTCTCTTTATTATTGTACAAATTATTTCAACGATTTATTCTAATATATGGGACCTAAATCAAGATTGGGCATTATTACAATCTCATAGTTCTAATTTTTTGTTAAGAGATGAATTAAGTTATAAGCATAAATGGATTTACTATATTGCAATGTTTAGTAATACATTTTTGAGGATTACTTGGATTTTATACTTTATTATCGATAATTTTTGGATCCGATTCATAGTTAACTTTGGAGAAATGTTTAGGTAACCATTTATTTATTGATTGATTTTTTACGATCAATCCTTTATTACTAAGATTATAGTTATTAAAAATTGCAATTATTTTTATTTATTTTTTTTTTTTTAAATTTATAGACGTTGGCAATGGGATATTTTCCGTATTGAAAAGGAACATGTTATAAATTGTCAAGAAGAACGTGCAATCAAAGAATTAAAGCTACCAACAATTTTTGATTCAACTATCACAGAAAAAATACAAATTCAAAAAAGTCCAATGTCACCACAATTAAATAGACTAAACTCATGGAGGGACTTTCAACCTAAATTAGATAAAAATGAAGGTGCCTACACACAAGATGATGACGATGATGATGATGATGATGATGATGACGACGATAATGATAATTTTGATAGTTTTGATAATAATGGTTGTGAAAAAAATGGTCACTTAAATGATTTTACAAAAAATAATTTGGATCACGAAAAAAAACAAGGAAATGAAAAAAGTAATGAAAATAAAAACACTGAATCAAATAAAAAATTCAAAGTAATTGACCACATTGAAATTCATATAGAATAATTTTTATAACTAATTTATAAACAAAGTCATACAGACGAGGTTGATAGTTCTAATCAAGCTGGAGTCAAAAAATACACGATAATCAAAAGAAGTCATAGGTGAAATCTAAATAATTACAAGATAAACTAAAAATTTCTAAAAAGAAATCAAGTTGTTAGATTTAATCAAATTATTGTATAATATTTTTTTAATAATTGCTGGCTCGAATGAGTCTGTTTATTAACCGATCAGATAATAAAATCATATTTCTGTATTTTCAAATGAATTTATATGGTGTGATCACATGATAGTTGATCCTTCCGGAATCTTCCCCCGGAAGCAAAAGTTTCATTTTTGATAGATCTGCGGTTACATTTTTGATAGGCGCAGATCATACCTAAATTTAGATAGCGTTCTTGATGCATCATATCCCA